TTTTGTAGATAATTTCAAAATTATATAGAGTAGCCCCTTTAATTTTTTAAACTATAAAGTAGCCCCCCCCCAAAAAAAAACATAATCCTAGATCCGTCCCTGACATCGGTGCTTGGATGTCCAATACGTATGGTAGTCAAATAAAAGGAGTCTAGATGATTAATTGGTAATTGGAGGTTGTTGGGGTTCATTGTTTTATTGTCATTAATTGAAATCGATGCCAAATGGTTTGGCCTCGATTTAGAGAATTCAACTAACAATTTAGTCAATTTGGTTCTTGCCAAACGAGACTTTAGTCTTTACGAGCTAAGTAAGGCTTCCAATGTAGAAAGGAGATTATGGGTGGTCTTTTGCGATGAGCTTTAAGTTAAATCCAATAGGTTTTGAAGTGGTGAAATGGAGTTGGAAAAAGATGGTTATAGGCAAAAGAAGAGAGTAGGTGTATGAAAAGCTATAACTATGGCCATTTGCTATTGCTGAAAAGTGTTGGATTAGAAGTGAACACATACTTATAGAATAGTGAAGGAAGAAGCATAGATGATACAATTAACTAGCTCTTTCTAGATTGGTAACATATAGTAAATGAAGATTACATGTTTGAGTTTTGTATAGGGTGATGAGATCAACCTTTAATCCTATCTTTTTGTTTAATGTTAGAATTTTAATTTTCTTTTTAAAACAGAGAGATGCTAAATCTTTTGCATAAATCTATAGAGATTTGGTCTCTTTACATGTGCAAAATATCATTGAACAAGTAATGTTTGCTTTTAACGTATAGTTTAGTGATAGAAATGTTAATTGTTATCGCATTTATTTTATAAAGTTGTTATATATCATATTAAAAAAAGAATATTTAGTTTATCACCTCTAAAAATTACTCCTAATGATGTGTCTAACAAGTGTCAAATTTTAATTTATCAAATATTCTATCATTTGGGGTCTAACCTCAATGTAACATCATTAGAAGTGGTAAATTATGTTTAAAAAAAATAAAGAGACTTATCATAAAAAGTGAATAATTCAATATTGCAGTAATATTTAGCAATTTCTATGAACGGAGTATTCTAAATCGTGTGGTCTTAATTATTATAGATGAAATTTGATCACTCAATTGTTAGAATTTATGTATCTCATTAGGTGATTGTAGGTTCAACTCCTCATATTTCAAAAAAAAAAAAAGTTTGGCTTGTCTCTAGTTAAAAGTTAAACTAGATCATACAGTTGAGATCTCTAACTGGTAAAAGTCATTAAATGAAAAATTATTACCGGTCAAAGTTTATGAAAATATGGCCTAATTGAATTTTTTCAAAAACACTTGCCGATAAGAGTCTTCTGTTTAATGACTTTTATCGGTTAAAGACCTCAACTGTTTGGTCCTGTTGAAATTTGAACCAGATACAAAGCATTCTATTTCAAAAAAACCAAAAAAAAAAAAATGCAAGATGAAAGTAATCTTTAGTAAACAAAAGCAAAACATAAACACAAGATAAAAGTAATCTTTTGTTACTTTATATGGAAAATTTCAATTATACCTTTTAAAATATCACTCAAAAATCAATTCAACTCTTATTATTTTAATAATATCAAGTGTACATTTAAATTATAGGTAATTGTATTTGCACAACACTCTTTTTCTCAGTACCCACTATCTTTTTAATTTTTTTATTACATTTTTGCCCCTTAACCAAATTACACTTTTGGACAATGCTAATTTCTCATTACATGCGTATACCCTACTACCATTTACCGCTCATAGTAGCCATTGCCGCACATCCAGCTCCAACGTTAGCCTTGTTGCCTCTTTGCATCCTCTCAACGCCACCTTCATCACCTCTTCGCATCTTTCCCAACGACACCTTCTCTCTCTCAGCCACCCTTATGCCTCCCTACCTTCATCCATCTTCTCTGTTCTTGAAACCCTAGATCTCTTTCTCTCTCTCATACGTCTGCGCAACTATGGATTGCAATTCTCTCTCTTGCTGGGATTTGGGAGTCGCGATTGGTAAGGTTATGGCGATGGTGCGTTGCGGTAGTGAAAGGCTACTGGGGTGGTGGGTCATGGGTTAAAACCTATAATTCTAAGTGAGAATGCAGGTCGTGGTGGTTGGGGTTGGTAAGGGCGGTCGGAGCTAGAGAATAATGGAAGAACGAAAAAAAAAGGAGAAAAAGGAAGCAGGTGAAAGAGGCTGCAACGAAATGGGAAGAAAAAGCAATGACTGGAGAAGAAGGGAGACAGGTGTATTGAGATAAAATAAAATATTCAAACTAGTATGAGGTGTGAGTTGAGCAAATAGTGTGTACTAAGAAAATGATAATATATAAATAGAATTTCCTTTAAATTATTTGATTTTGGATTAATTTTAATCTATCACCAGCTAGGGGTGTGCGAGTGTCAGTTTCGGCCACGAAACCTCCAATCCGCCATTCGTCTGCCAAATTGGCGGATTAGAAAAAATCAATCCACATCCAACCACCAATCCAACGGATGTGGATTGAGCAGATTGGCGGATGAATGCAAATCGGTTTGACGGTTTAAAATTTTATATATTTTTAACATAATTCAACTTGTACACTCCCTCGATATATATATATATATATATATATTACACTCAATAACTTAAAAAAAGTATTATAATCATCGCGTATCTCATCCAAAGAAAGAAAGTTTGAAATTTTAGAATATTACAATTGTTGGAAATGGTAGAAAAATTCTGGGTAAAACCAGAATTTTTTCTCAACTTTGGTCTATTTTTTAGGTGGGCCCCGAGTGTCGTTTTACTCGGGTCAAAGTGGTAACGCGTTCTATGCCGCGTTGTGATTCACGTGGTATATTTGGTTGCTCAAAACCATTACCGAGTGAATGGGAAATTGAAGCCAAAGTGTGCTCCATGGAAATGGAGTTTTGGTGGAAATTCCTTAAAGTTGTAAATTGACTTGTCCCACATTGATTTGGTGAGAAGTTTTGAAAGGGTTTATAAGGCTTGGGTTAGATACTTGGGGTATGCCCCAAGGGGTACCCAAGTGTTTTAGAGGGAGAGGTTATGGGCAAAATGGGCTAGACCCATTGGACCCAAAAATAACCACACGTGCGCGCCGCCGCCGCCGTCCGTCCGTTCAGGCGGCCTAGGCTTGGGCGCGGGTGTGTGGTGGGGTTGGGCTTCTAATCTTTTTGGGCCAAAAACATTTGAATTTAATTTTATTTTTTATTAAAATAAAATCCAGAATTCAAAATTAAACTGGTTTGGATTTATTGTTCATCCAAACAGGGCCCTTCCCGTTTTCACACAGAATTAAACTGTTTTGGATTTATTGCTCATCCAAACAGAGCGCTTCCCGTTTTTCAAACAGAATTAAACTATTTTGGATTTATTGCTCATCCAAATAGAGCCCTTCCCGTTTCTATCTGTTTGAATAAACAGATTCAAATCTGTTTAAATTTGAAACTAACAGGTTTCATACCTGTTCAATCCAAAACCAAAAGCCACCTTTACATCTATAAATAGACTAGCCTCCCATTTGGATTTCATTCCAATTTTCGTACTCCATCCTCTGCTAATTGAATTCTTCATCTTGCTGCATTTTATTTCCGAAAGAAAGAGCGTAAACACTTAGTGTGTTCGTAAGGCAAACAATTTGTAGTGCTGCTATTGATTGTGGTAAGATCATTTCATCTTGGGAGATAGACGTCCAAATTCTGAAAGCACCGTGGAGAGGACGAATCTAAACCACGAACACAGTGTTAAACACTGGACTTGATCAGAAAAGTTATTCAAATAAATTAACCAAGTAATTAGTTTAATTTAATTCTGTTTTTATTTGTTTATTTAATCAGATTTTAATTTTATTTTTTGTAACAAAATAAAATCTGTGGTTTTACTTATTTATTTTTATTTTGAGTTTGATTTTTGTAATCAAACAAATTCTCTCCTTTTCTCTATTTCTTTTATTCTTGTTGTTGTTTTGTACACAACAGAATTTAATCTTTTTAAATACAGTGAAGATTGCCTAACAACAATCACTAAATGTCTCATCTACATATTACAATCACAACATGCCTTATTCACATAAAGTATTACAATTTGTGATTTTTAAAATATAAAAACAATTCAAACCACCAAAATCATGAACAGAGCAGTAGTAGAGATTATATGCCTCTGTATTGTTATATCTATATCTGTTTTTGAAAATAAAAACTAACCAGCATATATCATCTTTTTTATTTATTATTTTTAGAGTTAGATTTATAAACCAAAAAATATAGATAAATAATTCATTTATTTTTTTTAATTCAAAAAATATATTCAAGTTGAAAACTCTTTTTCAATAGAACATATTCAACAGAATATATAGTCTCTTTTTCAATTAAAAAAACAAACAGAATATCTAAATAAATTGAAAACACAAAATCTTACAAATTATTAGGGGTGCTCGCGGTTTGACGGTTCGGTTAAGACCAAAAGAATCTCAAATCCGCCATCCGTTCAAAACTAAGTAGATTGAAAAAAATCAATCCGTAACATTCCGCTCATCATCACGCATCCATCCAAAATGTAATAGATCGGTTCAGTTCGATAAATTTAAATAGATCAATATATCCGCTACTCACTCCTAGCACCAGCTATCATTTACAATCAAACAGATTTTGTAATCTCATTTTACTGTCTAAAATATCATTTCGTATCATGAATATTTTAAAAAAAATAATTAAATATCTAATAAACAAAATATTAATTAAAAAAAATGCGATAAATTTTCCCTAACGACGACAACGCGGACGGTGTAACAGTCTGCGAGAGTTCTCTCGCGAAGAGCTCAGTTCAAAAGAATTCAAACCCTAACCCTAGTCTGGACAGCAGTCTCTCTCTCTCTCTCTCTCTCTCTCTCTCTCTCGCTCTCTGTGTATATTATTTATGTATGTATGTATGTATGTATGTTTGAAGGCATCGGCAATTTCGTCTGCACGCAGTGAAATAGACTCATTTCTAAGGCAAATGTAAGAAAAGAAAACCTCTTCTCAGGGGCTTCCAATTTATTCGTAATTCTGGATTTCTGTCTTTGTTTGATTCATCTTCTGTTGTTCAGTAATGTGTTTAGATAAAACTGTTTTTTTTTTAGTGGTTTATTTTATACTCTTGTCTATTGGGATTGATTTGGACAATACATATATACCCTTTTTGCTTATGTATCGCAACAACATGTCTATGCAATAAATTTAGAAATTTTAACTTCTTTTTTTTTTTTGGATTAAAAGGAATTTCCATTAACCTTGAATAAAATTATAAATCAGTGTTGGAGCAATGATCTTGCAATGCTTTTCACTGCAGCTTGATGTATCAGTGAAGGTTCAACGGCCTTAGATTTATTTTTAGACCACAAATTTCAAAACCACAACATTTTGGGGGTAAATATTCGGGTAGTATAGGGTAAAAGCATTGCAAACATGAGTATGGCAAAGGATCCTAATCTGGGTATAAGACCCCTCTAGCATCATCATAGGGTTTGATTATTAATAAATATTGGAATAGAAGAAATGTTTTGAAACTCTGCCTCCTACTGATCTCCTAAATTGGCTATAATATTGGCACACTTGATCGCCTCCCTATAGACACAGCTAATTTAGGGATAAGATTATTGAGTTGATGACAAAGGTACGGCTGATATTATAGGGATTGATTGACAAATGCATAGTTGGTGCTATAGGGATTGGCGACTTATGATCTCTTGCACCATTTTTAATTATAAAACGTGCAAATCTTTGGTTATTCGCATGATCAATTTGCTCTTTGTTATGAGTTCTATAAAATTTCCTTCACATACCTCATGGTTAATGACTTTTACATCCCTGTTTTTAGGCAGTGATTGCAAAAGAAAACAAAAAAAAATGGATGATAATGTGTTGTCACCTTCTTCCAAAAAACAAAAGCTTTCGGAAGAACATAATATTGGTGAGGGCATTGATATGATGAGCAGCTTGCTGGAAAATGTTCTCCATCACATCCTCTCATTCCTCACAACCAAAGAGGCCATACTAACATCCATATTATCAAGAAGATGGCAATATTTATGGACCTCTATTTCCAACATTGATTTGAATGATATGTCTTCTTGGTCTAACAGAAAGAAAGATAAGGGCAAGAAGAAAGATCGTTATGCAATGTGTAGGAGTTCCTTCTTGGATTTTGTGGAAAGAGTTCTCCTTCTTCATGATGCTTCAGATATTAAAAGACTTCGTCTTAGGTTCACTGTGGTTGTGAATTCATCACGTCTTAATTCATGGATCTCTGCTGCTGTAAGGCATAATGTTGAAGAGCCTGATCTGTACCTACCTGTGCAAACCCGCTTTGTCTTGCCTTGTTTCCTTTTTACTTGTGATTCCCTAGTTGTATTGAAGTTATTTATGGACTGTCCTTTCAAGCCACCTATTTTCATTCACTTCTCAAACCTCAAGACCTTGCATCTTTCTGCGGTTACATTTTCAGATGACAATTCCACACAACAACTTTTCTTTAGTTGTCCAGTGCTTCAAGAGTTGGAATTATTGTATTGTGGATGGAAGAATTTAAAGACTATCACCATTTCTATTCCCACACTAAAGAGACTGGCTATTGAAAATGAACTATTGCGGGACGATGCACTCAGTTGTGTGACCAAAATTTGTGCTGCAAATCTCATCTCGCTAAAATGCACAACTAACCAGAAAGTTGACTTCCATCTATGTAACCTATCTTCGGTAGTTGAAGCACATATTGACCTTCTATATAGATTTTCAATGCAGCAAGAAGTTGCCTCTTGTGCAATCAACTTGGTTACTGGGATTTGCAATGTTGAAACTTTAACGATATCAAACAATACCTTGGTATGTTAGCTTCTATTGTTTTCAACACTAATTAGCTTCTCTTGTTTGTGCCCCTTCGCAGTACTAATTAGTTTGTATTCTCTGGTGCCAAGTCTCTCATGTGTGTTGAAAATGTCTTGGATCATCTTCCTACATTTGACAATATGAGCTGTTTGGAGCTGAATGAAGAATTTCCTGGTTGTTTAAACGGAGCTTTGATGGTCTTACTTGAAAAATCGCCAAAGCTAGAGTTTCTTGATTTTGACATGGTACATCTCTGAACACCCATGATTTGGTCTATTTCTCTCTTATCACTTCACTTCTGATTTGGTATATATCTTTGATATCCAAAGGCAGTTGCTAAATTGATTTCACTGAATTTTTGTAAATTGGCACTTTTCATATAGGGCTTCGAGCCAAATGCTAGTTTCGATGAGGTTGATTTGATATTGGAAAGAGTACCTTCATGTTTCACGTCTTGCCTCAAAACGATTAGCATCACATGTTTTAAAGGGACGCCGGCAGAGTTTCATATGCTAAGATTTTTGTTGAAGAATGCAACCGTTTTGGAGGAGATGCTGATATGCTGCTCAGGTAATTCGCCAACAGATACAAATCCAGAGGAGCTTAGCTACACATACAGATGCTTCCTAGAGGCTCAGAAAACTGTGTTACGAAGTTGCTTTGATACTTTTGTGAGACTTCCTAGGAAACTCTCAATGTTTTACCAAAGATTGTTTCATGGTTGAGAATTGGGTAATAGATAACTTTTAATAAAGAGACTCCCAATGAACATGTTTTCTTTTTGTTTTGCTGTGGTAGATGTCTGAACAATCCATAATTCAGTTATCTTGTTGCTTGCAGAGAATATTTAGCATTCAAATATCTGATTGAATGTGAGATTTTAACAAATTCCTAATTCTAGTTCCTTTCCAGAGCTAAAGGCGAAGATCGAACAAAACCAACTACTGGTAAAGGCACAGCCCTTTTGACTAATTTCCTGACCTATCTAATTTTGTTACCTTTGAAGTTGAACCATTACCAAACCTGACAAGAAGTTTTGCAACGTGTTTTGTCACTTGAACTGCATCTTCTTATTGTGTGGACTCATCCATAAGCCCCTTCTAAAAAGAATCATTATACAGAACCAATAATGATTCATTCCCCTTTTTCCTCCACCCCCTTTGACCCCCTCTCTTTCTCATTGATTACATTTTTTTTTCTTTTTCTTTTTTTTCCTACTCCTCCAATCACCACCCGTCATGTGGCAAAGGGGTGAGGGATGACCCCCAAAAGAGGGTCCCAAGCATTATTCTATACAGAACTATTATGCAGAAGGAAAATGTTTTTTCCTCCGAAATTTTCGGCCCCGAATCCCCCTAATAACAAACGACGTCGTTTTGCAAATATATATTATTTTTTTGGAAAATGCATGAGATGGTGACCTTGCACCCTTGCGTTGCGACGGTGACCTTCCCCCTTCTCTCTCTCTCTCTCTCTCTCTCTCTCTCTCACACTTCTTTTTTTCTTTTTTTTTTTTTTTTTTCTGGCTCTGAAGATGAAGATGATGTGTTGATGATTGTGATGCCGATGAAGATGTTGTTGTTGTTGATTTTGTTGTTGATTTTTTTTTTTTTCCTGTTAGATCCAGTCCAGATCTGAAGGGGGCTGATTTTCTGGCTCTGATTTTTTTTTTTCTGGCTCTAATTTTTTTTTCCTGTTGAACAACATCATAATGAATTCGTTTGAACAATATACAACAACATCAATATTGGCTGATGATGTGCTTCTTCTTCTTCTCTCCTTTTTCTTCTTCTTTCTCTTCCTCTTCTGCCTGTTCTTCACAAACGAGAAGGGAAAATGGATTAAAAAAAAAAAATCCCAAAACGTCATCGTTTTGAGATTTTCATGCCATTCCGGAGCTTCTAATTCGAGCTATATGTAGCACGATTGTACACAGAATCAGGTAGCTTTTTGTGGAAGTTTCATTTCCAGTCAAAACACCTACTATTGTTTTCATTATTTCACAAATGTCATTGATGTATCATTCTAATTTTTATTTTATTTTTTAGATAAATTATAAATATACCTCTTGAGATTTATTTAAAATATAGATTAGTCCGTGTGGTTTGAAAATTTACAAATATTCGTTTATTAAAAAATTTTATTTAACAGAATTAACTGAAAATAAAATTCATAATTACTCTCCTATATAATAATAAAATTACTTAAATTATTAATTGAAACATATTTTAACATCATTAAAAATTGTTAATTGATTAATGATTTATTAATAAAATGGGCAATTTGTTATAAAATTAAAAACCTCAGGAGATGGAATGTAATTTTTAAAATTATAGGGAACGATTCGTATTTTAATAAAATTTCAAGAGATGTATTTGTAATTTACTCTTTATTTTTTCTTTTATTATTATTATTTTTTTTTTTTTTGTAAGGATTGTATGTTTGCAAATCAATTTTCCTTCTGCAAGTGTGTAGAGGCTATGTTTGGGATAATCTTTTTTGGCTATTTTAGTCAGACAAAATAGATTAAAAAGTCAATAAGATAAAATGTCGCATCTAAACTATAATCATTTTATTTTTTCTCTCACAAAAAGTAAAAAGGTCAAAAAAAATTTGTAGGTCAAAAAAATTTTATTTCAAATGAAATTTTTTAATCTCAAATTAAAAGATCTAACAGACATTCTAAACGAAGGCTGAGTGTCTTTCACAGCAGGAGCTGCATTACAAACATGACTCCGTGCGGCAGTAGCGTAGGGGAGCAAACTACAAGGCTAAGAATGACATAATGGTGAATGTAATATATATATTTTTTATTTAAGATAATTAAAATTTTATATTTTTATTTCATAAACATTAGATATGTAATGAAAATTTTTCACTATATATATGGAGGGGTTTTTTTTTTAAGGTCCCTGGTATTATGATTTTATAGCATAAAGGACACCAAATATTTTCATAATGTCTAAGGTCCCTCAACAATATTTTCATAATATCTAAGGTCCCTCAACCTTGATTCAGAGAAATTTCAGTCCAGAGAAATTTCAGTCCAGAGAAAATTGGTCCAGAGAAATTTGGTCCAGAGAAATTTCAGTGCAGAGAAAATTGGTCAGAGAAATTCTAGCCCAGAGAAATTTCTCTGGACCAAATTTCTCTGGATGAGTTTCTCTACTTTTCTTCTCATTCACATCCAAATCATTGTGATTCATTAGGTAAGCAACATTGTTCAACTGAATTCAACTGGAAAAATTCCACATTGTAATATGTAAGCAACATTAGAATGGGATAACAATGGCAACTTACCAGAACCAGAGAAATTTTGGAAAAATCTAGGTTTGATCCTTCATCATTGTTGCTACTGTTGTTACCATCTCCACTGCCACTCGACTCAAGAAGAGAAGAAGAGGAGAAGAATCAAACCAGAGGAGAAGAATCGAACCAGAAGAAAAAAAAAAAAGAAAAAAGAAAAAAGGGTATAATAGAGGCAGGAAAGAGAAGAAGATAAGAAGAGGAGAAGAATCAAAAGAAATTTCAAACCAGAGAAATTTGAAATTTCTCTGATTTGTTCAATTTTTTTGATTTTCTATGTTTTGCAAATGTCTCATCCAATTCTCAAAAATGGTGCAAATCAGAGTATTTTCTGGTGATTTAAACACTGGAATATCTTGTCAATAATTGCCTTAAATCACATGTGGTTTTCGTTTTGGGGGAATAAAATGAGCAACTTTGTAAAGAAATTTTAATCAACGGAAAAAAAAAGAAAAAAGAATTCAAATGAATTAGAGCACTGAGAGAAGAAATCTATGGGTTATAAAATGAATTCAATTCTCAACATGACATCATTACACCTTTATACATACTAAAGATTCAAAAAACATGATTTCCAAACCAGAGAAAATTCACAGAGAAAATGCCAAATTTCTCTGGACAACACTTGAGGACTAGTTCAATCCAAACCAGAGAATTTCTCTGGATCAACCCAGAGAAAATTCAGTCCAATTCACTAATATCTTGATTAGCAGCTACCACAGTAAAGATAAAACAAAAAAATCCACATGCATCTTAAAACTTAATCTAGCACTACAGTAAAGAATTACATGACAAATCTTAGTTCTCCAAAATAATTTTTTGTTTGCTTCCTTCATATATCCACTAGGATGCTTTTCAAGGAAGTAGGCTGATGATGCCTTCCTATTGATCTCATAGGATGTAAATACCTCATGTAATTAACATGACCCTCAAAGTGGAGCCCTCTTCTTCTTGATTCATCTAGGAACTATAGAGATGTACACTTATCGCATGATTCACATCACTATTTCCAAGTCCAGAATAATCAAGCTTGGCTATTCGAAATTCAGATGGAGACAAGTTCACCTGAATAACAACTACACTACCATTATGACCAAACAGATACAGACCTGTTTGGTTTATCGCCATATACTCCACTGCATAATTTGAGTTCGTATAAGCCTTGGTATCCATCGACAGTTTCCAATATGTCAAATTCTGCCACTGCAGTAAAGCGTCTGAGGCACTAACCGCGAGCCTGTAATTGCCAGTTGACAAGTCACCGCTTGATACAGCGCTCGACAGCAATAACCCAAGAGGCAAATTCTGCCCAATCACAATCGTGTCCGTTGGATAACGAAAGCTCTCCCAAAGGGTAACATTGAATTGATCAAGCAAAAGAAGATTGCCCATTTCGGTTAACTGAAGAGCGGACACCGACGCCTTCAATGGCGCAGTTGACCATCTAAAAGCGCCATCTTGATCGGTAATTGAAATCCCATCAAGGGTTAGACTCATCTTTCCTGAATTCGAAATGGGAGCATCACGATTAGCAGACCAAGTGATAGCATTGGATGCCATGTGAATGACACACAAATAGAAGTTTGTTTGCTGACCATTATTTGAATGTGAAGCAGAAACAGAGAGCCCATGTAGAGAGAGAAAGTGAGTAGAAAGAGAGAAGGAATGGGGTGAGGGACCTTAGACTACAAAAGAACAGATTGTGGACCTAATCCATTACTAAAAGTTGGATAGGGACCTTAGACCGATTTTCCCATATATGGAATGGAGAGGATCACAATCATATATATTATATATATATGAGTAAATTACACTGACACTCCTTGAAATTTCTGTTTAATAAAATCCACTTCTCACGTTTGAAAAATTATATTTATAACCTATCAGATTAAAATGACATATTTTTCATTTAGCCTTTATATATATAAAATAATAAAATGATATTGATATTTTATTCATGTCATTTCAAGAGAAATAGCAATCAGCTTTTTTTGTTTAAATCACACAAAAAATTGAGTTTTTTTTTTTGCATGTATTTTTATTTTTATTGAATTTTTTTAATATTTTAAGTATTTTTTTTATTTTTTAGATATTCTTAATCTAGATATATTTAAGAAATGTAATATTTTGTGATTTTTTTTTTTAAATTCACCAAATACAAAAAAAAAATTAAAAATTAAAAATCAAAAAAAACACAAAAACACAAAAACTCAATTGGTAATACTGTAATAAATGTAGGTAAATATACAAGAAAGAAAAATGATGGTGGAAATAAAAATAAAAAATTCTACTCATATATAAAACATTATACAAAAAAAAATATAAAAATGTTCTGATAGTGATGTTGTTATAAATATAAATCAAATTTATGGGTGTTTTGTTTTAAAGTGAAAGGTCGCCATTAAATTATATTCACTGTGTTTAGTTTGAGTTTTCTGGATTAAGTTTTTTGAAATTGAGTTTTTTTATTTTTATATTCTTTTTTTTTTAGTGAATATTTTTTAAATTTTAAATATTTTTTTTACTTTTTTAGATGCACCTTAGTTAGATGTATCTAAAAAATAAAAAATTTATGAAAAAATATTTTAAAAAATTAATAAATACATAAAAATACAAAAAATATACTGAATTCTTGTATATTTTTTTTGTATTTTTGGTATTTAGTGAATTTTTAAAAGATTTTTTTTACAATTTTTTTAGTTTTTAGGTTTATTTATGTTAGTTGTGTCTAAAAAGTAAAAAAATTACTTAAAATATTAAAAAAAATCAGTAAAAACAAAAAAAAATACGGAAAATAAGAATATAGAATTTTCTGAAAAGTGTTTTTCTGAAAAATGAAAACAAGCAAGCTGATTATTATGTTTGAAAATTTTATATAAAATTCATGTTCATATAGAATTTCCCTCCAAAGAATAATTTGTAATAAAATTACAAACTTCAGAAAGGATAATGTAATTTTTTAAACGTGAAAAAATATTTATATTAAATAGAAACCTCAGGCATGTCAGTGTAATTTACCCCCTATATATATATTTAAAGAGAATAGAAATGAGTGAAGCTGTGAGTATAAAAAAAATAAATTAATAAGTACTATATATGTTTGTGTGTATATATATATATCTATCAAGGTTCTGAAAGTGGTTGCGGTTGTCGTAACGGTGGCAGTGGTGCGGTTGCGGTTGCGGTTGCGGTTGCGGGGTGTAAAGGCCGTAGTGTAACGGCTGCGGTAACCGAAACTGTGAATTTTTTTTATTTTTCGCACAATTTGAAAAAAGCTTACCAATACGCATATTTTTTTTCCATGATCATATTTATTGGGTTAAAAATAAATATTGATCAATTTTTGTAAATTTTTAAGTATGATCCAATATATTTCATATTTTTAAATCACTATAAACTGAGTTTTTTACCTTTTATTTTAATAATTAATGACTTTATATTACATAAAAAATCAATCACTAACTATTATATATAAGATAAACAATGACAAAAATAAGAGAATAAATAAGCAAAAATGCTAGAGGCCCCAAAAATTTTACCAAAAATTTTACCAAATGTCTCACATTGGTAAAATTTTTGGTAGAATTTTTGGGGCCTCTAGCATTTTATATATATATATATATATATATACATATTTTAATCAAGTTAAATAGATAATGATCACACTTATTATTATTTGTTTTTTCAAACAATATATAGATAGACACACACAAACAAAATCATTGAGTGATAGCAGCTGAATAGAATAGCATAGGTCTTACAGTTTCAACAAATCAATAACATGTTTTTCATCTTCCCTCTTCTCTCTCTATTTCTTGCTCCTCCATTTTCTCTCTTTATCTTCCCTCTTCTCTCTATCCTTCTTCCCCATTTTTAGCTCTTTTTTTTGTGCTTTTTCGAAAAAAACAGTTTGGAACCGTTACGTAACGGTGCGTAACAGGCCATTACGGCCGCTACGGCACCGTTACGGCCGCTACGGCTGACACACCTGTGAATCTCAATCACACTGCAAAAGCGGCCGTAACAGGTGGCGGTAACCACCAAAACCGTTACGTAGCGGCGTTACGTAGCGGTTGCGACCGTTTTTTAAAACCTTGATATCTATATACTTATATATAGGGGAGAGTTAGTATTTGTTACAGTATAATATGACTTTCAGTTTTCTTTTCACTTTTGCCCCTATTTTTGTGTCGTGTTTTCTTCTTTTTTCTATTTTCTCTATTGTCTGCTTGGAATATTTCATAATTTTTATATTTTGTTTATAATTTTTGTCTCATTTGATAACACTAATAAATCAATTTTTTAATAAAAAAATTCACTAATTGTGTTTGATTGCAATTTTAGATTATAATTTATTGTATTTTTTCAACTAATTTGAAAAATTAAAAAATGATATATTTTTAAGTTGTAAAATATAATTTTTGAAACTTATTTGAGACTCTTAATTTATATAGACAAAATAACTCTGTATAATCAAATAAGTTTAACCTCTTTTTTTAAACAAAATATAAAAAGTTATATCAAACAAATTTACAATTTATTTTAATTTTTTGAAACTAATAATCTAAAACGTTATAATCATAAAAACTCGGTTACATGTGATGCCAAATTAAGTCATTATTTGTCAATACTCTAGTCATAATAAATATGAGTGAGAACCTATTAAATCACTATGACATATGAAATGATAATAAAGTATTGTACATAATTTGTCATATTAATATTTAGTGTTATTCAATGATGACAAATAATATCCAAATATTTTTTTTGAGCTGATTTTACAAATACTTATAGTCAAGTTTTAAATTTTTTACTTCTTATGATAAGGTTATTATTGCTAGAAAAAATTAAGTGCGTGCTGGATAGGACAATACCACATGTTGCTTTAAGTAAATAAGAATTTTATAGAAGTGTTTAGAGATTAAAAGTGTCAAATATTATTACTTAGGCAGTCACTTAAAAAATAATATATTTGTTGAAGATATTTTTGTGTCACTTCAAATTATTTTTCCTTTTTATCCAATTAATAGTAAACAAATAATTCAATTTTTTTTAGGGCATCCTAATCAAACATAATGCAATAATCTCCCATTCTTATTTGAGAATAATGATATACAAATAGAATTGGGAAAATTATAATAAAATAAAATAAATAAAACCTAGAGTTTGAACTTTTCGATTTTTTTCTTTTTTTTTTTTCTTTTAACCTAGAGTTTAAACCTTTTAAACTCCAATTGTTGTTCGAACCTAGAGTTTGAATTTTATAACAAAATAAATTATGAATTTTTAATTTTACCAATTTAAATCATAAACTTTTGATTTGCTTTCAATTTAAACTATTTATCTATGTTTGTCAAGTAAAATAAATGAATATATATATATTAGTCATCATATTCGGCATAAATTATATTTTAGATATTTTCTACATACTTTCATTGAGTTTAATGACTAAATATAATTTTTTATATCCGTTTTTATTAACAAAAATAGACAAATATTTTAAATTGAAAACAAAACAAAGATTAGAATTTAAATTGATAAAATTTAGAATTTATTTTGTTCAAATAATACAGGTTGAGTTAGTACGTTATGTAATTCAAACTGAAAAATATAATAAAAAATTACGGTTCAAATAATAATTTCAAAAAGCGTTAATTACATCAAGTTACCTCAAGGTTTGGGGGAAAAAAAATAATTAGTTATATAATTTTGACATAATTATATTGAATTTCTTTGAGATTTTAATTTGTATAACACTTAACCTATTTCTCATCAAAAGTTTGTTAGTTATATGAATAAAAAAAAATGATATTGTTATTTATTTTACACAAAATGTATATTTGACGTTATTTATTTTTGTATTTTTACGCAATTTGCATTAATTCTACTCACTTTAATCTTATTAAGACCATGTTCAATCCAGACTAAAATCTTTCTTCAAATTTAAATTGATGAGAATTTGATAAAAATAGTGTTCTAACCGTTATACCAAATTGGTATCAAATGAATGGAGTACTACTTTTTTTATCATATTAAGGAGGGTTTAACCTTTCGTCAAATTTTGTAGGTGACCATTAGTGTACAACTAGATTGGGAAAAAATTTGAAGAAAATTTACACTAAGTCAAATGACTGCTCGAACATCCTTCCGTTTGTATTTTCGGTCGGCCGGTTATTTGATGAAAATTAAAAATTTAGCATTAAAGCGCTTGGTATCAATTAAAAATTTTAGTCTAAATCTTTACTCAAATTTGATAAAAAGAAAATATAAAAAAATAAACGTTAGAGATGCTCTAAAATCAAAGTTAGTGTAAATTATATTAAATTTGTAGGATTTATTATATTTTCTCTAAATGTCAAGAAAAGTCTATGTAAGTTACTTTTAGTTTGAGCAAAATTTCACTTTGATATGTAGGAGTTGTTTGGGATGTCCTAAATAAGTGTACTTTTTGTCTTTTTAGAAAAAAAATTGAGGAAAAAAATATGGATGTTTGGGTTAACTTTTTGACTTTTTATAAAAAAATGTGTAATAAAAAATTGTAAAAATTGATTTGTAGGGAATAGTGTATAGGGAAAAATTAGAATTGAGAGTTGTGCAGCCGTAATTTTTGACTTTTGGTGAATAGTGCTAACTTTTTGAATAATTTTTTGACTTTTTAACTTTTTATGGATTTGCCAAACTTAGTCTTAAAGTTTCAATTTAAACCTTATATTTTTAATTTTGTTTCAATATAGACCCCCTATCATGCAAAATTAGATTAGATCAAAGTAGAATTAAAAAAAAAAAAAAACTACAAAGGCTCCATCGCAATATTTTTTAATTAAAAAAGTTAAACAATATTGATTACATTATAACAAAATTAAAATTAAAAGTACTGAAGTGAAACTTCTTCCAAACTACGATGATAATTGTGTAATTAACACATAAGTTTCAAACCCCCGATAAACCCTTGATCCCCCAAGTTCTCACCCCTCCTCTCTCTAAGCTTCAATGGCTCCCTCTTCTACCTCCCTCTCACCATATTGAACTCCAAACCACCCACACCTAACCAACCATACCCACTCGCAGATTACCCACAAATGGTTTTTCTCAGAACCCTCCGTTCTCGCCATTTCCACACACTCCTAAACCCCCCAAACCCTCCTCCTTCCCAATACTTCAAAAACCCTACAACCCAATTCTTCCACAGACCCATTTCGCTTTCCGCACAATTCAAATCCGAATCGATCAGCAATCAACAGACAAAGAAGCCCTTGCACGTTCTGTTCAAGGAAGCCGTTGGATTATCCAAAAAAATCGAACCCATTGAAGCCTAGAACGAACCCGAAACCAATGAATTGAAGAAGAGATTGAGAAAATTGGAGGAAGAAGTGAGGAGGTTGAAAGAGAATAGTAGTGAGAAAGTAAGAGTAGAGAAATTGAAGAAAAAGAAGATTGAGAATGATGAGTCTAGTTCTAAGAGCTTGTACGCCTTGTTTGCGAATAAAGGAGGTGATAGTGAGAAATCTAGGGTTGTGGAGTCTTTGAGGATGGAGGATCAAATGGTGTACAAAGAGCTTTCGCTCGAATTGGCTCTATTTGTGAAGCATTTGTACAAAGAAGGCTACTTTGTTAATGCTAATTTCTTGCCCAATAACAAGTTTGATATTACTTGTTTTGAGAACAGTTATGGCCGTGATTTTATTAGGTATGCCGCAGAGAAGTTTGGCAAGGATAACCAAGAAATTGTAAAGTAAGAACAATTCTTTGCCATCACTTTTTTCTTTATATCTATAGTTTGTTGTATGTTTCCCATTACATTAATGTAATAGTTTATCTACTTTTGTTTGAATGGTGATGATTGTTTTCTAGCATTAAGCTTTCAAATATTAATGTCAACAATTAAAAATAGGGCTGAAAACAAGCCGAGTAGTAGTAGTAGTAGCAGTAGGTTGTTTAAACTTGGTTTAATAATCATACGAGCTTAAACTTATGTTCAAGTTTGGTTTGTTTACATCAGGAGCCGATCTCGAACACGATTTTAACGAGCCAAACACAAGTCGAGCTCGAGTAGCTTGAATTTTTATAGTATATATAAGCTTATCGAACCAAGTAATAGGTTATTCAAGATTGGCATGAAAACTTAACAAGCTTAAAATTGTGTTGAATTTTGGCTTGTTTACGTAATAAGTCGACCTCAAGTAGCGTGGTTCGTTTAACAGCCCTAAAAATAATGTTGGTTTTAAACCTTGACTTTATAAACCTATATGTGAAAGAACCTTTTATGGGCTGATGTGTGGTCTGATTAATTTTGTTTGAAGATAGAAGTGGGGATTCTGTTTGAAAATAGTTGTTCAAAATAAATTCCACGAAGTTGATTCGTGGTGTCCCTTTATGCAGAAGTCTTAGTCTAGCTGATCATGACATGCTTTACTGAAGAAGATATGAAAGTGATGCAACCTATGTTCTATAAATAGTTCTGGCATTTTCTTTGGAGAATGAAATATCAGTAAATCTGGCTTAAATAGATAGTTAAATCTCCATTCACTCACAAGGAATTGACAATTAACAATGGTCAATAAAACAGAGAACATGCTGAAAATTTCTAAGACATGCAATAAACTTAATTCTAATGTTTTTAAAATGTCACAATTTACTTCAAGCAACATAACAATTGACATGTAACAACCACAAAATTAAAGAGAAGAAAAATTGCCATAACTTGAAGCAACACTAAATCTAAAATTATAGTTGAAATTATTCAGGCTTCTATTGCAAAATCATACAGTGATCGGATGTAAACAATAGGAAACACGATTAAGAGAGATGGGACAAGAATGATTAGACAACAAGATTGTAAGTGGGAAAACAATGATCAAGGGATAGAATGGAAGGGGGTGAGCAATGTAGAGCAAGTAGGAAACTCACCAAGATATATAACCAGAGAAGATGAAAAAGAACAAGAGAACAGAGAGAAAGAGAAAAGGAGAAAGGAGCAAGAGGGAGAATAGCTGCAGCTCTTGATTGCAACACAAGGCTTAGTTTGGTTTGTTTTGTTTTGGAAATTAATGCTAGGGGGAGATGCTATAGTCATTTATTTGGCCCCAGAGTAGCTAAGGGAAGTAGGTTGTCTGTCATTATTGTTGAATGTGGTTCACAAGGAAAGCTTCTCAGGTTCCATGAGTTGGTGGCATATGTTAAAAGACATTTTCTCTTCTGGTGTTTTCTTCACAATATTTTAATTGGTGACTGCCATTTACTTAATTTTTGGCTCAAAATGAAGGGCTTCCTCATTAATGGTCTTATCTATATTCTTTACAAGTTTCTAAGGAAAACGTGTAGCACAATGTCCAAAAAACTTGTGACATGGAAGTGCGAGTGATTGACATCTCTGCATAGTTTGAGGCATTAAATAGTAACTTGCAGCTGCAATACTTCATTTCCGTATCAAAACAGAATTAGGTTTGCTAGGGCATGTGCTGATTGAATTTGGTGTAATTGATAAGGTGGATAAATGGCAAGTGAAGTAAATGAGCACCGGCCGTGTAAGAGAATCCTGTGCCCAAGGGCTGTAGTGAAAGCTAAAACTGAGATGCATTGGTGGTCGTAGAAGGAATAACATGCAGCAGTGTGAGAAGGAATGTTGACACTAATGAATTGTCTAAAATAGAATATGAAAAATCATCGAAAGATATGTCTGACTTAACTGTTTCAGAAAACCCACATAACAGACAGGCACAGTTCAGCATGCATGTGTATTTGTCTGAGTGGGTGAATGAGGGTGTGTGTTTGCTAGTCATGATGGTGGTTCCACTTCCATTTTTTTGTTCTATATTGTTTCCTTGTTTCCATCTGTTAGCTCCTTCAAGTCTTATGAACTTAAGTTACGGATGCACAGATGGTTGTCAGCCAGTGACTTGAAAAAGGTGGCCCTCTTTGGATGTCCTTCGCTCGGAAGGAAAAATGTCTTTTCTGCTAAAAGCTTGCGCAATTTTTTCAGAATTCAAGAAGACACCGTAAGTCAATTGTCTCATTGAAAAATTTCACCTCTCTAATCTTTCTGGTCTTATCTACATATTCTTATTGCTTTATTTTGGAAGAGACATTATTTTTATTTTTATTTTTATTCTTTTGTCATTGTTACATGATCACATTCAGGTATGCAGTAAATGCGTCTTGAAATCATCATGCAAGTTTGTGAATCAGAGTGTATGGAAAGGCAATAACAACAATTTGAATTTGGCTGTTGTAATGAGGGTCATACTTTTGTACGCCATGGAATCTGTTCCTCCACAGTTGGTAGTGCCTGACGAGATAAAGGCTTCTGTTAGTGTATTGCTGAAGGAGGTTCTGAACCTAAGCCAAACTCACGCATAAAGCTTTTTGACGGTTCCATATATAAAGTGGTCTTTCAGGTGCTTTAAATCTGGATTATTGTTCAGACTACTTTGTTCCTTGATAGGTTTGTTGGTTTATAGACAAGTAAACTGATTTGCTTTCATTCTCACAGTATTGTCAGTATTCTGGTGCACAAATCTGGGAGATGAAGTGTGATGATCAAATTTCTACGTTGTTAATAACTCATGCGGAGAACGATGCAAAAGATTGTTGCGAGTTACATTACATCTATGAATGATATTCGAGGGGTTGGTCATTTTGGTTGCCAAAAATATGTGAAAGGGGGCTCCTCTGTTGGATTGTGGAAGTGTCATCTTGGATTGGCTGGTTAGTGAACTTCATAAATGCTTTAGTTATATATGTCTCATCAAAAAAAAATTTGGCATTCAACAATTGAGTAGAGCTTTTGAGATGCATATGTCAACTTATTTCTTTATTATATATGAATGGCCATTTTATCCATTTTAAATGTATAATGTTGTCAATGCGTACGATAAAATCTGAAGTATTGGGTACTAAAGTTAAATTTCATGATTGAAGATCAGAATTGGTTTCTCTTTTTACCCCTCTTTTTCCTTTTTAAATCCCGAATGATATTATTCTAGCTTGTTCATCCCTGAAGTATTGAGTAAATAAATACTGAGAAAATAATCTTTCGTACATACAATGTAGTTGGGTCCCTCATTTTGATGATTTTGGTTCTGGTCTTTCATGTTATTGGGTCTATGATTATGTCCAAAATGATGTAAATTACAATGCAATGTAGCTATGATGTACTTTTTAAAAATGTGTGATAGTAAAATTTACCATGATGCAATTGATGCTAATTTTGCCTCCCTAGGTTATTGAAAAGAATCAAAAAGAAAAAAACTTGACGATTAGATTGTTAAATTTTTAAGGGGAAAATCTTACCGTGGTATTGTAAATTACTTCATTAATTTTAATTATATCAATTTTGTTCTTTAATTTTTCATATTGTATCAATTTACTTTGTTTAATAATGTCCCTTAACAATTGGACTGAAATCAAAGGCAAAGTGGTCACTTTGAAAGGGAATTAATTGTTTCAAATTAGACATCAACCTTTTGATCAATCCAAGGGGAGTAAGTACACTATTTACCTTTTGATTTCTATCTAATTCCTTAAAACGTTATCAATTAAACTAAATTAATATAATATAAAAATTTTAAAGATAAAATCGATAAAATTAAAATTATGATTAAATTGACAAGAAACAAACTATAAGGTCACAAGTATGAGCTGGCTGAATACTTCAATTCTGCTCATTATGAGCAAGTGCTGGAGAGCTTGCACATGGCATTCTGGTGGCAAACATAGGATTATTTGCACAAAAACTCCTTAAATCATTGAAAAGTATTATTTTAACTCTTTAATTATAAAAATATATAAATAGATCTCTTAAACTATTGAGAAGTCTCATTTTATACTCTAAACTATAAAAACGTACAAATGTCCCTAAATTATAAAAACATACAAATTTGACCGTTAACAGAAGGAATCAAACTGAAATATGTCAATTTTAGAGGGACAAATTGATACTTCTAAATAGTTTTGAGAATTCATTTGAACGTTTTTATAATTTAGAAAATTTAAATAATTTAGAAACTCTCCATGTAAAGTTTGAGTTGAATTCCATTAGTTCCTATAGTAGTCGTTGAAGTCACGAATGCCGAAGGCTAGTTCCAGTAGGGTGGAGGCGAGTGATGAACTTCTTGTGCCTTAGTTTCTCGATTTAGTGAGCGAGTCAAGTTCACCTTCATTCTTATTTTATTCTAACGATACAAGTCATTGATTGTGTCCTATTAGACGAGAGCTTTATTGATCGATTTCTTTATCAAAATAATCTATCGCGCGGGAGAGGGCAGTGGAAATGGGAGAAAGAATCGATCTAGTGGCAGGAAGCAATCGACACCTGAGTTTCACTCAAACTCTTCTGAACGAGACTTGGGACGCATGAACCGGCTTTTGCGCTTCCTCAATTTCGGAGTCAAGCAAGAGAGAATGTTTCTAGATCTTTCTCTTCCTTCGACCGCCCACCGGATAAATGGAAGAAAATTGAACGTGGAATCACTATAAACTGATTAGTAACGAGCAACTAACGGATAATGCGTTCGTTTGGCACCTTCGGGCGTCAAACCCGAATCAGCTATGGGAACAAATATGTTGAGTGCTAGACCGGTCCGAGAACTGATGCGAGCACCCTAATGGATCGAGCAGTCACTCCACCTGTGAGAAAAAGTCCAAACTAAGAGAAAATCTCTTTCGCTTTGTAGCCAAAACATGGGAACAACAACTCCGGAAAGAACGATAAAAAGAAGTTGCTATTATCAATTTGAGTTGGAGCGAACCGCAAAGATCCTGCTTCGGGAGGATGGGAATAGTCAAATTCCTTGTTGGGTGGGAATAATAGCCAGAGAACAAAAAATGGGTGAGAGTGGTCCACCAACTCCTCATATCGATCACTAAACTGAGGTTGGCTCGATCACGAAGCCCAGAATCTAGATATGAAATATATGTGACTGCTTCCACTTCCCTGACCGCTCTTTCATCGAGTCAAATCTTACTAGGAAAAGAAGCCCCACTATACATATTGATTGCTCTCACTATCAGTCAATGACTCGCGAGTGAAGACCAATCTGAGCCGTTGCCGACGTGACCCGATTAGTTTTGGTAGGACGTACGAGTGGGAAGCTCGACGCATTCGCTAAGCGAAGAGCTTAATCTACAAGATTCCGTATTCGAAGCGGGGACGATATCCGATCTCCCACTGACGTAGGTTTACTGAAAGCGACCAGTTCTTTCATAGGTCCTTCTTTATCCACACGGACGAGGGACTTGAGCTTGGTTTAGGATACCACGTCACACACCTCATCTGGGAATCGGAAGCGCTAACGGAAACTGGTAGCAAGTACTGATGGACTTCGATCAGGATTTCCCGGTCATTCAACCAAGCCAAGGCGGTTCATGAGGTAGAATGATAGATCTTCGAAAACTGGGAAGGGGTTTACTGAAAGCACAAGGATCGCCAGGCTATTGATCATAGTACGATGTCCTTAAGGGCTTCGGTCAGGAGTACAGGGTGCAGCCCTACCCGCGAGTGAAGACCAATCTGAACCGTTGCCGACGTGACCCGATTAGTTTTGGTAGGACGTACGAGTGGGAAGCTCGACACATTCGCTAAGCGAAGAGCTTAATCTACAAGATTCCGTATTCGAAGCGGGGACGATATCCGATCTCCCACTGACGTAGGTTTACTGAAAGCGACCAGTTCTTTCATAGGTCCTTCTTTATCCACACAGACAAGGGTTTAGACTTGAGCTTGGTTTTGGATATCACGTCACACACCTCATCTGGGAATCGGAAGCGCTAACGGAAACTGGTAGCAAGTACTGATGGACTTTGATCAAGATTTCCCGGTCATTCAACCAAGCCAAGGCGGTTCATGAGGTAGAATGATAGATCTTCGAAAACTGGGAAGGGGTTTATTGAAAGCACAAGGATCGCCAGGCTATTGATCATAGTACGATGTCCTTAAGGGCTTCGGTCAGGAGTATAGGGAGTGCCGATTGGCAAAAAAATGTAGGGCAAACCAGAGAGAAAGAGCTAAGAGGTTGGAGCAATTTCCAAGTTTGCATGATGGTCAAGCATTCACCACAAGATCCGAATGCACTCAAAGGATCTGTTGATGTTTTCCTTTGCAACAATACTTACATTCAGAAAAATTATCAATATATATATTTGTGGACCATATTTTGAATATAATTCATATCGCTAATTTTGAATTTACACTATGCACTTTATTTTCAGGGTATTTTTTTAGGGTAAATAGCATTTCCTCTGCTTTGTGCAAGACCTTTCAACTTCTATTTCCTTAAAACGGATTTTTGCATCAAAAAAATATACTATTTTTTTTTTTTTGTTTTAATATTTGTTACTAGAAAATTTTGTATTTTTTTCTTTTCATCTCTATGTAGATCCGCTCAACAAACACCGTACACGTAGATCTACCATTCCATTATTTTCTAAATATAATAAGTCTTATATATATATATATATATGTGTGTGTGCGCGCGCGCGTGCACGCGCATGCACACAACATTGTTGTGTGAATCTATAAAATATGAGAAAAACAATAAAATCTATCCAGTGATATAAAACAACCCTCTTTTAATTTTGTTGCCCAGTGATACAAATATTTTGGAAATATCCTATTTAGGGGAGATTTTTCACCTAGTTGAAGAAACTTTGCCTTTGAAAACGTTAGCTAACACACAAATCAAAAAGAACAAAGTTACTACTATCCATGACCCCTATATTTTTAGGTTTGATATTGCACATATCCTTCATCTTTCATTGTTTTCATCAATTGCTTCCAAAACTTACGAGGTACCCAAGCATTATGAGTACCTGGGTTGCCCTGCAAATCACATGAACCACAAATGCAGAAAGAGAGAGAGCCCAAATTGTTACACCTTTCGTGCAGGTCAAAACTTATCCGACAATCAAATCTTACCCAATAAGGAATTTTACTACCTTAGGACAGTTATAGTTATAACCACCAACTTGGTTACCTAGTGAGTTACTTCATTGACCTTACAGCACTGAACTAGGCAGAAATACCTAGGGCGCAAGACAATTCTCTTTAAGGAACACATCAAAATTGCCCCATAGCTTCGTGAGACGGGGTGCTCCTCTCAAACGGCGCAGTGCTGACCAGGTCTTCGCAACTATTTACCAAGAACACAGTGCTCCATAAAGTCGAGAGAGAGAGAGAGAGAGTTCCCCCCAGTAAATGATTCCAATACAAATCAGTTGAAAATCACCATTTCAATATATATATATATAAAAACGTTTCTTCCCAGCAATGAATTTTCTATAGTTTGGCACGTAAATTATGTACAATCAGGTAAGTTTCCATCACTGGCAACTCAGTACATATAGTTTGGAACTCACCTCTTCTTTTGGGACTTGTGCTGTACAACCCAACCACTCGTGTAACCGATTGCTTCTCCATATAGAACAAAGAATAGACACAGAAATTCACCATAAATGGAAAAGGTTGACATAGAATCTACAGTTGATCGATCACCTTTCAAGTTTCTGGTACAAATCTGACAGTGCGTGATAGAGAATGGCAGCCGCAGGAGGCCGAGGCAACAATCCAAGAAGAATGTCTGATGCCCTGAAGGATGGATTACCGTAGAATCTGGAATTTTCTTGGGTGCGGGTGGTGACAACACTCCCTTCAAGCGAGCATCCAACAAATGCACCTGGAAAAGCAAATATAAGCAATTTCATCATATCATCCATCCTAGTCTCCTCTTTAGTCATGTTGTATGACATAAAAAAGAACCAGTGGACAAAACTGTCTGAAAGGACATATGATATGAACACAAGTCATAGTAAAAGTTATCATTAAAACACGCCACAGAAATGCAAATATGAATGTTATGCACCAATCCAGTCTCAAAATACTGCTATTCACGTTCATCAAAAAGAACAAGCGCACAAGAACCACAAACTTCAAGCCTAAGAAGAATGGACACAGACGCGGGTACAAACACGAGACAGTGGATTTGAAAAAATTAGGATACAAACACAGCGGGCATATTGCGAAAAATATATATTTTTTAATATATTTTTATTTGCTATGTATATTTACGGCACATAGATATAAGAGGCATCAACGTATTTGTGGGTGTATTTTTAGTTTTTGGACTTTCCTAGCCCTTTGTTTTCTTATATTTTAATTTCTTTCTTTTTATCTCAAATTAGCTTTCTAAGACTCAAAATTATTTTTTTTAAAAAAAAAACTCACAAAAGTGTCCAAAGGCATGTCAAAACACAGGCACATGTATCCATGAAGTGTCCCCAAAGGGTGTCCTGCAAACAAAAAAAAATGACACGCCACGTGGCGTATCCGACATGTGAACATGCGTGTAGCTCGTCCCATGGATGCCCAGCTGCAGTAACCTACATTCTGTGCCAGCTAGGTTCCCCTATAACCAAACTAAATCAATTGGGAACTAGAACTTTTGATCATTTAAGATTTTATAAAGCCAGGCGTGGAAGAAAAATAATAGTAGAACCCCCCCAAGGTTCGTTTAAGATTACATATGAAACGTTTAGTGTATGCATGCGTGTTTGCACAGAGTGACATAAAAACGCAGAATGCTTTGTGAAAAATTGCAAAACTCCTTTTATCAGTGAATTAGTATCCTTTCTACAAGCATCAGAAATCTTAATACATAGAGTTACTTACATCTACTGATATTCATGACAGATATTTATAGTACCTTGTCTGGGGCTGTCTAAATGACCACAACACAAGCAATAACATCACTAGGGAACAACAAATGAAAGGCAACCTGGATACTCTTGATAACTTGAACATCTTTTACACTATTGACCTTTAGCTCTATATGCAACTATTCAATGCAGCTGTGAAATTAGCTGGTAACATGAATTGATAGGAAGAAACCCCTAAAAGGTTCACGAGGCATTCCAAGACTTATTTAGGGGAGGGAGGGGTACCTTTACTGCAGCTGTAAGTATAGCAAGCAGCATAGCCACCATCACCAGCACGAACATCCGCTTCAGCAGCCCTTCCAACAATGCCAACAGCAGCACTCAAACCTGCTCCAACTGAGAAATGCACATTTCCGCTAAATGTCTGTACAGCACCACTTGTCCTCAACACAATTATAAAGTCTGTCAGTTCCCCTCCTGCCTGTTTCATTTCAAAAAAATATATAATAAAAATTAAATCAAACATAGTAGAACTAACGTCTGTTGGAGCTCATATATATCATATTCAGTTCCAGCAGGGGAATTCTTCATAAAGGAATTCAAACTAGCTCCTACATTACACATTAATTATTAGGCATTGGTTACCACCCACCACTTACGAAGCCAAACGTTCACTTATTAAAAGTAGCTTTCTAGGCAAGAAATGCAACATTGAAGGAACACGAGATCTGTATATGACAGGAGACTGGAAGAAATCTGCATGAAATCAAGTCAATGATTTGTGCAAAGGTTTGAGAGCATAGTTCACAAAAGCTTTGCATTTCACATATGGTTCCAGCAGCCTCCCATCACAACTCATAATTCTGAGATGAATATAGGGAACACTCGCCTACTAGTAGACAGACCAAAACTTATGTATGATAGCGAAAAAACTTATATTTTCAAAGCTGATTATAAATTATTTTTAGTGGCTGGAAGGTTAGTAAGATATGGAGAGGGGAGAAGAAAATCATTCACTCACATTTAAAAACAAAAATATTACTTAAAAGGATTTTCAACAGCTAAGATAATTGAACCCATTGCACGGTTTTTGTTGTAAAATGGTTCTTAATTAGATATAATCATATTTATGAAGGACTTTGTAGCCACTCCAGCAGAAAGAGGAAAAACTTCTCATTTCTCTCCAAAAGAAAACACTATAAAGACTGACAAAAGCAAGTACACAGAAAACACACGCATTTCCTGTAATGTCCTCGAGGTTGAGTAACTTTAGTAGAGAACTATAAAATATATTTCACCTGAGCTCCCCAACCAATGCCAAATGTAGAAATGGCAGACGGTGGTGACCAAGATCCATCTTGTCTACGTGCAACAACTAGCCCTGTTCCAATGTTGTAGGTCACCATCACACCAACCTTTGCAACAGTAAGAATTGCAAGGCCTTTTGCTTGTTTTAAAATAGCATCTGGTATGGACTTTTCTGGTGTCAACAAGCCAACCTGAGTAATAACATTCCAGTATATTATAAACCATATAAACATCTAACATATGAGGTGGACAGTTTTTATCTCTGAATGCATGGAATACTTGAGAAAGAAACAGAATCTGAACTGCATGACTATGGTTTCATCCTCTTCATTCAAATGAGAGGCATCAAACAAACAAATCTAAATCAAGTAACTACTCCACATAAAAACAAACAAAATTATGGACATTTGCAGTCCTTCAAGTTAGCCTGCACAATCTAAGATTGTAAAACTCATACAATAGTTATACAAAACACATAAATGGACACAGTGAAGCAGCTGGCTACAATTCCACATTTGTAAAAGCTGAAAAAGTTCTTCATCTAAAAGTACTCAAACAAAAGGCTTCATAGCATTAAATCAAAATGTTAGTGCTTCCTAAAAAAATTTAAGCTACGGATTTTTTTATTTTTTATTTTGCTTTCACAGGAATGTAGATAATCTCTGATTAAAAAGGTATCGATCATCAACACAATCAACTTAAAAGTAAAAAGTATCAAAGGAAAGAAAAAAGACAACCTGATTGTAACCCCGAATGGTGTTTGTAGCCTTATAAATTTCATATTCCATGGACTGGCCCCATGGAAAATTAAGCCACGATCTCAACGTACTGAGGTCTGTCAGATCATGGGTTGGCAACTGTGCAGCACGACTTACTTGGTCCATTAAGTATGACTGGACTGAATCAAGCCGCACACTGCACACATCACAAACTCGTTGCGGGTTCCCAGTGTGAAACTTGGCAGGTAACAAGCTCCTTCCCTTGGAACACTGATTGCAAAAAATCCCTCCACAAAACCGGCAGTGGTGCCTAGAGCACATGATCGGATGGAAGCGCACATTACACAGCATGCAAGCAGAAGCAGCACTGTCAGCCAACCATTTTGGTGGCTCTGCTTCAAGGATTTCCCTTGCATTACCAAAATTAGCTTCTGTGAGGGTTTGAGCCATCTCTTTCCAAGCTTGCTCAAGAAGATTGTTTGATATCCAGGAAATCGCGCAACCATGGACGTCACCTGAAGCAAGAGCAGTCACTTTCCCTCGGGCCACAAGTAGCATATCAAGAACCACATCCCACATAGTCATCTCTTTCTCTTCTCCAACAAACTGATTCCATCCCATGTCCCCATCAGCGAAGTAGCCCCCACCGAAGGAAAAACCCCTATTCCATTCTTCATGTTCGCTCCCTGACATTGGTGGAACAGAGACAGGTATCCAAACCCCAGTTTCTTCAGAAACTGGCAAGTCATAACAAAAATATTTGCCAACTGTATCATTGCCAGCATTTGAAACATTATGATTCTGCAGATCATCACCCACCATAGTGCCGTCAGGTGTCTCGGTTTCATCATCTTTCAGCTGTGCATTTTCTTCATTTGCCAAATTATCAGTGGCCGACAAACTACTTTCTTTCCTTTGTTCCTCAACATCTTCAGAAACCTGAACACCAGCACCCAGCAATGCAAATAAACAAGCAGCATTTTAAAAACTGATTTAGAAACAGATGACAGAAAAATGTTACCCCTTTTGTCCCAAGTCCTTTTTGTCCATTTTCTTATATTGGAATGTCACACGATAGTTCTTCACTTTAAAAGTGAAGTGTACAAAATTTTGTTACTTTCTAAACTATCGTTTTGAAGGAGTAGCTCTGAAATCCACCACAGAAAATTTTCCTTCAAAAATTTTCCCAAGTTTTGGATGCTCATGCTTCCCACTTGGGCATGAACGCGTTAAATGCCTGCCTCACTAAACAGTTGGAATCCTAAATGGACTGTGAACAGGGAATGGAGGGAACAACATCTATTGCACCATCAATTTGATATTTGCACAAGTGAATATATATTGATAAAGCCACATCACATATAAGTTAACCCAAAAGATCATTGACCAGCAAGGCCACCAAGTTGGATAAATAAATATGAAGTTGATAACGATGCAATCAACATAAATAGGGAAATATAACTAATGCATGACACATTAGATGCCCAATGATAACAAGTAATCACCATGAAAGTCCCTAAGAAGATGGGAAAACAAAAAATAGAAGGAAAAAAAAAAAACTAAGAAGAGAACTGCAGTTCTGAAGTCTGATTATCGAACTTAATAAAATTAATCATCTATTATAATGCTCAGGGGCACAAATAAGTAGCCAATGCTCTTCAGTTTGTCCCCCCATATTCACGTGATGCTTCGTATATTCATGCCTCTTATAATCAGGAAAAAGAAGAATCATGCTTATTATTAGGGAATGAACAATTTAGTTGAGAATCATACTTATGCTGCAAATGACACACACTTGCAACTTGGTAAGAGCACCCTTTCTATATTAGAACCTAATAGTAAGTGGTAACTGAAGAAAGTTGTGTGTTTCTCAAAACAACCTTTGTACATTCAGTGATGATTTGAACAATCCCAGTACATTTCTACAACACAACTCTTAAACTATCATACACTTCCTGCATGCTTTTAAAGCTTCTTGAGCATGTCCTGTCTACTTCCCTCTAGTTTCTATACATTTAATTATTTTCCAAGCCCTAGATTCCTACTTTGTTTCTCACTCTCTACACTCAATTACACTTCTATAGTTACCCTACTGGAGGTGGAGCTTCTTTTCAACTGAATTTTACAAATAGAGACTATAAACAGATTTTTCAATGCATTTAAAAAGTACGGCACCTTTTGGTGGTTGCTCTGTCTATTGAAAAGCAATTAATCTGCGGACAACTAAATTTTTTAAACTCCATATCTTTATAACATCCTCATACATGGCAACTATAAACTTCCCAAGCAAGGATGAAAACAATGGAGTGGGCATTAATGATTGCATGTAATGGACTACAAAATGATTAAAATTTCACATCCCATATTCATTCCAAGACCTGCAAATGGCCAGTATTCTATGATCTCATCCCCAATTCTTCTTTGATTAAAATTAGTTTTTGAAATTTCAAACTATTAATCTTGCCACTAATATTCACCCAGAATCCCAGATACTCTTGAAAAAGGTTTTGTTTAATTTGGCTTCTAGGTTATCATTGCTTATTATGTTTACCAACCAAATGACATTTGAGTCTTCTGACAAATTTTGACCTCATCATTTTCATAAACAACTGTTCCAAACCGGTTTCACTCCTACCCTAAATTTAGGGTTAAAACTTGAAAAAATGTATGAACCTCCAGGCTCCAGCTGCATATCCTAATTACAATATACAGCAACAAAAATCTCAACAGTAACCATCAATTACAACCGATAAGTTTCCACAGATCCCATGTATGTTTCTAAACATTATGCACATTATACAATTTTCAACTTTCCCATTCCCTTCGAATAATAACATGAATTAAATTTGCCCCTCTAGAGAAAACAATAAATAAATTAATAAATAAAAGTAGTAAATTTCATTACTTTTTAGCTCGCACATATCAAATTAAATTCGTGTATCTCTCTTTTTTTCCAAAAATTCAAAGTACAAATTATAAGAATTCAAAGTTAGCTCTGAAGCAGAATTCAATTAATCTAATTTTTCAAATTAAGCATCTCCATTTAATTACCAAGAATCTGTAAAAACGAAACACAAAATATAGATATTTTTTCCCTGAATCGGCAGAAAAATGGTTGCTTTATTTTCCTTTGGTTTTCTGATAAACCAAACAGAGGGGGGTAAGAGATTGATTACCGTGTGAGAGAAAAACTTGGGCTCGTAGTCGTCGAGTTGAATCTTAGGGTATAGAACTTTAGCATCCATTGACGAGCTTTGACGTGGTGGAGAGTGGTGCTGATGATCAATCGAGAAGAATCGACATGGCAGAGGGTTTTAGAGAGAGAAGAATCCAAGTGTCGGATCGGTGGGCTACGCTATCGTGTGAGAGAGAGAGAGAGAAGATTTCTAGTTGGAAAAGGAAAGGAAACAACAATCATTTGATCTGTTTGTTAACGTTTACGTTTTCAGTTTATATTTACAAAAATTTTATAAATTGGTTTTTATTTATTTTTTGTTTATTTTTAGAAAAACATAAACTACAAACGCGTTTGGTAATTGACAAAATATTTAAAAAAAATTAAAAATATAAAAAAGAGTGAGAAATGGCAAGTGGTGGCAAGTGACGGCGAAAGACGGTGGTGGAAAGTGGTGACGGTGGGTGGTGTGTAGCTAAGAATTGTGGGGCCCCTTAACAAATGGAGTTGAAAAAATACACTCAATGCCCGAGGAATTTATAAAATGGATAAATTATATTGACACATTATGAGATTTGATCTGATTATATTTTATTTTGTAATATTATAAAAATTATATTTTTATCTCTGTAGTTAATAGTCTCATTTCATAAACCTCTGTTTATATAAAAGGCAACAATTCTTAGGCCAAGTTTGACATGTGGCTAAAAAGTTAAAAAATCAAAAAATTACTCAAAAAGTTAAAGAGTTATCATTATTCACCAAAAGTCAAAAATTATGTAACTCTCAATTCTAATTTTTTCTTACACACTAATTTATATAATTTTTTAATACACATTTTTCTATAAAAAGTCAAAAAGTTAACCCAAACAACCATATTTTTTTCCTCAACTTTTTAGTCCAAAAATTTAAAAAGTGCACTTATTTAGGACATCCCAAACAACCCCTTAGTTTAAAAATAGAGAAAATTATATTGGAAAAAAATAAATAAAGCAAAGAAAAGAAAAAAAAGAAAAAAAAGAAAAGTAAAGTAAAACAAGAAAAGAGAGAATGTATGAATTCAATATCTTTTTGATACCAATATTAATTCCGTCTAAATAATTACAATGACAGAAGGGTCAATGTAATTTTTCAAATGCCATGAGGTGATATATATTAAACCTAAATCTCAGGGGTGTAAATATAATTTACCCTTATAAAATTGCACTTAATTGTTGTGTTTGAATTATAAATTTAAATAGAAATTTAAAAAATTAATTTAAAAAAAAAGAGAAATTTAAATAAATTATAAACTAAATGGCCCAAATTCATATGTATTTTAAATAAGATTGTGTTATCTATCTACATATTACATAAGGAAAATGGAATTTTTAACCCTTAAGTTTTGTGGGAGCTCCAATATCGCAATCTTAATTTTTTAGTTTTTTTTATTTTTGTTAAAAAAAATCTCAACATTTATTGACTTCTCCCAACTCACAAGCTTTTTTGACTTCTCTCATACCTACTACCGCACCCTTGTCAACTTCTCTCATACACTATGGTTAGTAACAGGATTGTTAAATTATTTTTATAAAAAATCTAAAAAAAATAATTTGTATATTAAAAAAATATATAAAACAAATATAAATTCTTATTAAAAAATAACAAGTCGCAATTGCCAAAATATAAATAAAATTACGCTGTGCGTTTCATTAATAATGCTCAAAAAATGTGCCAAGTGTTTATATAAAGGCTTGACACGTGTCCACTCTCAAATTATCAAGTGAATATAGATAAAACCAAAGAACTTAGCTTTAATGGTTAACAAATATTAAACGCCCAAACATTGAAACATAATAATTATTAATTAATAGAATTCAACAATTGAAACATTTCTTTGTCTTCTTAAATGTTCCCTTCTTTTGGTTCATGCATTCATTCTAATATTGATTAAAAAAAAAAATTAGATGTGTGGAAAAGTGAAAGACATTAAAATTATATATTAAGTTATGCAATTTGTGTGATAAAAAATAAAGATTGTCTTTTCCTTCTATGGCGATTTATCTGGTTATATCTCCAATTAAAACGTCAGGTGTGTTTCTACATCATCATTGAATGTTACTTTCATTTTTTTTTAGATATTTTGTCTCACAATTGTTTGTGTTTTGTGTTATAAAATTTATTACCTCTGTGTTTGTTAAAACTATTAGATGGACCTAATGCAAGAAGTGCATACTATTTCAATGTCATTCTTAATATTAGAAGTACAAAAAATATACACAAAAAGTATATGAATAGATAAGATTTTACAAAATTTGTTTGAGTCTCACTTCTTGAAAATCTTATAATTCATTTATTTTTTGTATTATATTTTATTTTTGGTTTCTGTATTTTTTTTATATATAGTTTTCTTTGTTTCGTTTAAAAATTTATTTTAAAAATTAATAAATAAATAAATAATCATTTTCTATTTCAAAAATTTTCATTTTTGTTTTTATTTTTTATTTTTTTCTTAAAGTAGTTTTAGTTTTGGGCAATTACTTACTTTTTTTTCTCTATATTGTAATTTTGTGCATTTTAAGCATATATTGTTTTCACTAATACACTCGGAGATACACTATGAAAGCAGTATCATGTGAAAATCAAGTAAGAAGAAGAAAATTAAATAAAATAATACGATGAATGTGGAGCAAAAATTAAAGATTAAAGATCAAAACTCCCAAAACAAGTAAGCAAACAAACAAGCAAGTAAAATAGAATGTTTAACAATACACATTAGAAAATTTGCAATAAAATTTTATAACTTTCTTTTTTGGTAAAAAAAATTATATTTGGTACAAGCTAAATAAAATGTTTATAAAATAGTTTTTTTTTAAAATTTGAAATTAAAACTATAGTAAATTTATGTAAGCATAATTGCTAACCACATTTTTTTACTTAATGTATAATATTATATTGACTACCTTTTTTAGATTTATTTTTTTCAGTATTTATATAGAAGTAAAAAAACGTCGTTAGGTATAAAGTTTTCCTTAATTTAGTTATAAATTTTATCCGTACATTATTTTTAAATTTTGAATAAAAGCAAACATAAAATAATTGATTGAAGATATATTGCATTTGTTATATTCCTTTTTTTGTGTGTAAAAAAAAAAACACTTAAAAATTGCAATTCACATATATATAAATAATTATAAACACAACTCATGTATAGTACGGGTGGAACACTAGTATATTATATATGGGGTTTCTATCCCATAAGGCCTCTAAGAACTCCAAATTTCAAATCTAAATTTCATAATTTTTTTTATTTTTAAAATTTTAAAAAAAATCTTCTTTTGGTTAACTCTTATTCAAGAAAAAATAAATAAATAAAAATTAATATCTTTTGATTTATAACTTTCAAATGAAAAGTATATCAAATCTTACAAGAAAAAAAAAAAAAAAAAAAAAAAAAAAAAAAAAAAAAAAAAAAAAAAAAAAAAAAAAAGATAGGAATTATACTAAGGGGAATTTTTTTTTAAGGTCCTAATAATAATAATTTAGAGGATAAAGGACACCCAAAAAAATAGTGATGCATCAGGTCCCTGAACAACTTGGCGCGCGTTTTTAATTATTTTGTGGACCAAAATACCCTTGCCAAAATAAACACAGAAACGAAACTCATTCCAACGTCTGAGTTCCATTCCAAGCATCCAGCATCTTCACGACACAGGAGAACAGCAGAATTAGGGTTTCAACATCATCTTCACCATCGACATTAGAGTTTCGTTATCTTCTGCAAAAATCATTCCCATTCCTTCCTCACAAATTTCTATGACCTTCGTTAAAGCTTCGTTTTCACTGCTCATCGTCATTTCAGTCCATCTTCGTCACGTCGCATCTTCATCTCAGGCCATATCAGCTCGTCATTCAAGTTTCATCCTAACTCTGGTAAGTTTTTCTACAATACAACTAGATTTTCTCTGGAAACACAGTTAATAGCATTTTATAATAACCTTCCATAAATTAGGGTTTCAATTTCGTAATAAAAAGCTACCTGAATTTGGAAAAAGTTATTTCTGTGTATTTTGAACTTATTCTTGAACATGTTTGTGTGATTTTATCTGTAAATTTCTCTGGCATTTGAATTTCTCTGATTTTTTTCTTGATGTATGTTTCTTCTTTCAATTTTCTTTGGCATGTTTATTTTCAAAAAAATAATTTTCTGTGTTTTTATCTTATTCTTGAACATGTTTCTGTAATTTTCTCTATAAATTTCCCTGCTCTGTAAATTTCTTTATAATATGTATTTTTAATTGGAATGTCTATATTTCTCTGGAATGTCTATTACTCTTTTGTTTCTATCTAAGTTTCTCTGGTATTTATAATTTTCTCTGACCACATCACATCACTTTCCTCCCTTGTGTGTCTCTATCATGTTTAATTTTCTCTGGAATTTTAATATTATGGACTGGAATGAATGTTTCTTCTTTGAATTTTCTCTGCCATGTGTATTTTGAGAAAAAGTTATTTCTTTGTATTTTGATCTTATTCTTGAACATATTTCTGTGATTTTGTTTATGAATTTCTCTAGAATATATATTTTTTTCTAGAATGTCTATTACTCTCTTGCCTGTCTAAGTTTCTCTGGTATTTATAATTTTTTCTGACCACATCACACCACTTTCCTTCCCTTGTGTGTCTCTATCATGGTTAATTTTCTCTGGTTGTGTATGTAAATTTCTCTGGCATTTTAATATTATGAATTGAAATTTTCTCTGGAATGGAAATTTCCTCAAGAATGTGTAATTTTCTCCGGAATGTGTATTTTTCTCTGGTATGTTTATTTTGTTCAATTCTTGGTTTCAATGTGGTGTAATTTTCGTGGCATGTTTACATTACTTTGTTTATTTTATCTTGCTAATTGTGGGATGGAAATTTTCTTTAACTTGCCATGTTTACTTTTTTCTATCATTCATTTTCTCTGGTATGTTTACTTCTATATGTAATTTTAACTATTATTGAAAATTTCTCTCACATGTTTATGATGTTGTGTTGATTTTCTCTGACATTTAATTTTTAATGTCCAATTTTCTCTAGCATGTTCAATTTTCTGTAATTTCCCCTTATCTGTAATTTTCTCTGACATCTCCAATTTTCTCTTTTTTGTAATTTTTTCCCTTATCTGTAATTTTCTCTAACATGTCCAATTTTCTCTGGCATGTTCAATTTTCTCTGGGATTTAATGTTGACATCTTTATG